AAAAAAAAAAAAAAAAAGAAAAAGAAAAATGGCTGATTATATGTTAATTTTTTTCATGTTTTAAATGTTATAACAAACCTGCACATGTCTGTTATGTTAATTTCAGCTTAACTTTTTAATAAGAATAGCCAAGAGAATTTTGACAAAGCAGAGAACAAGCCATGCCAGAAATTAAAACATAGACGAAGCTTAACTAATTAAAACATTATAGAATTGTCACATGAAGAGAATAACAAGGCATTGGAATGGAACAAAAGTCCAGAAATAGAGTCAATTACATAAGTGAATTTAAAATTGATAAGGTTAATAATTCCAATCAATGAGGGTTTCAGGGAGAAAATAACCATTTTCAAAAATAGTGTTGGATAAGTGGGTACTCCTTTGGGAAAAAATAAAAATGGATCCTTACCTCACACCTTATATAAGGATAAATTCTAGATGGTCAGAGATTTCAGCATAAAAAATAAGACAAACAAGTACCAGAAGAAACCACTGGATACATTTTTAAGATAATTAACCAAGAAACTAAAAAAAGAATTTTTTTTTTTTTTTTTAAAAAAGCTTGCTTGTGCCCCTTCCCATGATCTGATTTCTATTGCCAAGATTAGTTTTGCCTGTTGTAGAACTTTATATAAATATATAGTATTTTTTTGGTGACAGGGTCTTACTCTGTCACTCAGGCTGGAGTGCAGTGACATGATCATAGCTCACTGCAGCCTCCACTTCCTGGGCTCAAGTGATCCTCCCTCCTCACCCTCCCAAGTACTTGGGATTATGGCTACATGCAACCATACCTGGCTAATTTTTGGGGGGGACAGGATCATTTTTTGTAGAGACAGGGTCTCGCATGTTGCCAAGGCTGGTCTTGAACTCCTGGGTTTAAGCAATCCTCCTACCTCAGCCTCCCAAAGTGCCAGGATTACAAGTGTAAGCCATCATACCTGCCCTAATTTTTTAAATATCTGCATGGTCAACACCACCATAAGAAAAAAGTCAGAAAACCACAAAAGGAGGGAAAATGTCTGCAATGTCATACATAAAGAGCTTCTAAAAATCAGCAAAAAGGTCAATAACCAAATCAGAAAAAATAGTGAAAAGACACAAGTAGAAATGCAAATAGAAATACCTCTTAACTTCATCCACATAAGAGAAAGATGAGTTGAAGTCACCTCAGATAACACCTTTTACCTTAAAGATCAGCAAAGATCACAGAGTCTGATCAAACATTCTGTTGGAGTTTGAGGGGAGACAGGCTTTCAACCACAGCTAGTGGGAGTTAAAATTGGCGTGCCCAGTGGAAGTCAAGGTAATTTGCGACAGTGGCGTTTGTAATTGACCAAGACTGGAAACAATCTGTGATTGTTACTGGAAACCAGCTAAATACAC